GTTGCTGGCGGACACACAGACGACAACTCAGACGACATTAGAACCTAGTGATCACCGATGTTGTTTCGCGACAAAAACATCGACTCCGGCATGTCTTTGCTCCAGAGCGGCTAAGACGATTTGTGTATTCGTACGTGCGTATTTACGTACGTCTATTACGTATATATTACATATATTACATCAATAGCAAATAATACCGGTATTATTAGCTCTTGATTACATACATATATACATACATATACACCAGGCATATATAATATACATATTTATATAACGCATATATATATATTTAACGCATATATAACAAATTTTGTCATTATTAACCCCTGATATACACATATATTACATATATTACATACATATATACATACATATACACATATATTACATATATTACATATATTACGTATATTACATACATATATTACGTATATTACATACACATATATACATATATTACATATTTTACGTATATTACATACGTGTATTTACGTAATCGTGGCGTGTCTCGTCAGATAGTAGAACGTCCTTCCGTTTCTTCCTCCTACCTTTGTCTCACTCACTTCGTCTATCCCCCTCGCTCCCTATTTCCCTATTTCCCTCCCTCCCTCCTCCCCTCTCTCCCTCCCTCCCTCTCGCCCTTCCTAGTGCGCGTGAAAGGTGATAAACTCCCTGTGTGCCATTCACCTACAACCGCATCTAAAAATAAAGAGCCCGAAGTTTTTCTTGGTTTTTCCTCGGACCTCGTGGGCGCAGCGAAGCTCCACGTGAAACCGGTCCGCTCACGATCCGGAGAACCGGTTAACTACGGCATGTATACGCATTCGACGCGGCGGTTTCACTACGAGAATGCAAATGAATCACTGCAGCTTCCGTCGTCGCTGTAACATCAGCTGTTGCTGTTTGCTCTCGTCTGCTGCGGGCTCTACACTATCTTCCCCCCCTCCCACCTCCCCCCACGCCAATTATATACGTGTTTTTCACGGGGATGTTCGTACCGACGGTGTTTTCCCCGTATAGTGATGATCGTTATTTGCGACCAATTATATTTCAGAACAAGCTCATCGTTTGAGTCGGCCTCGGGCACGTATAAATAATTCGTGGATTCACCCCCACCCCCTCCGCCGTGGTTCTGCCGCTCCGACGTGTCTCTTGCATCATGTACAGTACACCCACGCACGCACACACGCGCGCGCACACACACACGCACGCGCACACGCACGCGCACGCACACACACGCACACACACGTACACACGCACGCACACACGCGCGCACACACGCGCACACACACACGCGCACACACACACGCGCGCAAACACGCACACACACACGCACACACGCACACACGCACACGCGCGCACACACACACGCGCGCAATCTCGACATCCTAATTGCTCTGATCACTTTTGCCCACAACGTGATTTGCTCGGTCTAACACCGCCTAATTGATTTGTTAGCCGGTATATGTACACTGCCATTGTCACCGCGCCTATCTGTGTTGAATTCAGTATTTGAGTAAGGGGCGTGCAATGCCGGTCCAGATACTTTCCTATCGTGTTTTTTACACACAGTTACGCTATACGTTAGTAGAACATTAAATACCTACATTAAATACGCTTAAAGCCTACGCGAACCCAACTAAGTTTTTTTTTCAATCACAAAACACTTTTATTGACTAGAAAATGAAATACCTACATTTACATTTACATTTACATTTACATTACATTTATTTATACAATTATTTTTAATTAATAATATTTTTAATTATTTTTATAATTTTATTTATTTATTTATGACATTTATTTTAATTTACAATTACGTGACGATGACGTGCTGTGTGTGATCAGTAACGGATACGAATTGTATCTCTGCTGTATGCAGCAGCAGAAGGCAACGTGATTCCCGCTCCCTCTACACACTCTCGATCTGTACACCTTCCTAAATGTGTCTCTGACAAGAATTAAAGGATCTCATATCGGTTATTAAACAGAGTGTTTTTTACAGCGGAATTTAATCAATTCCCGCACCGCGCGTCTCGCTATCTAACGACACAGCCACGCGATCACGATTTAATGCTAAACAGAAATTGCTGAGTAAATACGGCATGAAAAACGCCTAGCTGAAAACGATTCTTAGTTTTCAAATTGCTTCCCGTCTCCGATATCCAGCGCAAACACCAGGAGTCGGGCCCTGTTCTCACTACGTGTAAACCCCGCAGACGGTCACAGCAGCATTGCTCGACCCGTTCGTCCACTGAAAATTCAAGTCAGCTAACAAAAGAATTCTAAGCTAAAAAAGAATTCTCCACGGCCAAACGTTTTCCCATCGACAAATTCGAACAATAGTTTGCGTGGGAGTGCATGTGCGCCCCCACCCCCACCCATACGCTTATACATACATACATACATACATACATACATACATACATACATACATACATACATACATACATACATACATACATACATACAGATACATTTAAAATGCTTTCGAACGAGCCTGATGATCGCAAACAAACGAACGTTTGCCTATATGTCTGGAAACACAAACACACTATTCTGTGACTGACGAAGTCTTGAATTTGAATAACTAATATAGGTTGCGTAATAGCAGTATACGCGGCAGTGCTATAGGGCAGGTGTAATGCTACACGTTTACCTAATTTGTCTAGCCGTGAACCTCTGGCGAACCAGAAAAAAAATGTCTCGCAATTCCATCACGAGCTTGCAGTGTATTGAAGGTCATTAGTGACTACAAGCGCACCACGACAACGCCACACCTCAGCAGGTGAAATCTCTACTCGATAAAAAAATATAATGATCAGCAAAAAAAACCTCAGCAAGAAGAGCAGTGTTTTTTGTATGCATTCCCTCGCTTCGACTCCTTACGTAATCTAAAAGCAATCATTCTATTCAAATCCCAATCGATTTAAGATGAGGATCGTGTCCTAATTTACTAATAAATCCTGCGGCGATGTTGCTGTTAGCTTCGTTAACGACGACATCTTTATTCTGGTGGGAAACGCTGTTTAGTTATACCAACATTAATATCGACACTAAAATGTAATACGAAGTAAAAAGCTGTGCGATGGACTACGTTTTTCTTACTCGGTATATGCGGTATGCGTCGAAGCACTGACACACATTTCATGGCAATTAGGCTGGGTAATGCGAGAACAGACGCTTCCGCCTCGCCGCTGCGGCTGCTAGTGCAGCTATACCGCTGTGTCTGACATTTCCCCAGGCATATACTTCTACTGCTACGCATACGCCAGTGAATCTCTTATTGGTGGGACTACACGCAAAGTACGTTTAGTGTGCTCTTTTATGCACGCTTATACATGTGCGCATACTTGAATCGTGGTTGGTTTAGACATATTATGCCTTCAACAAATGCAGAACAATGCTGTATACGCTGTATATTTCGCGGTGGTTTAATTTTCGCGAACGCGTCCCCGACCGCGAAAATAACAACACGCGAAATAATTCATACCGAATAACACCGAATATTTCATAATTCACCGACCGCGAAATTAACCACTCGCGAAATTGTCCGTCAAGTGTGAATTCGCAAAAGTATCTGTACGCGAAAAATATGGCGTATACAGTAATAGACGGTAGCTGAAAGATGTTTCCAACTATATTGCTATGGTGTTCCAGATCCTGGTCTCAACCTCAACTACAATTAGGCGTTTGGTGCTTCCGTTGTTGTACATGTATGCTATCAAGAGCTAATAAATACCTCAATAATAATTAAATCATAATAATAATAATAATAATAATTAGTATTCATTAGCTCTTGATGCTATCATGTGCTAATCCAGAGCTATGACAAAGAAGGTGATTAAACCCCCTGTTTTAGCTCATGCATTATTTGTATATGCGTCAGTCGTGTTGAATTACGTTACACCAATAATTGGCTTAGCAAGTATAAAAATAAGTCTGTGCACGTGCCGCATTCTATCGAAATCCCACGGCAATCTCAAATGTCCTTGACTTTTGTTTACAATAACAGCCATGAATAGACGAACATTACAAAAAATATCCAATTATATCAAAACTGAGACATCAATAATAAAGAATTGATGGCGCCATATTGAAGATTGTACATGACAGCACTCATGCACGTGCTTTAGCAGATTCACTCAACTCCGAGTGTGTGTTCAACTCTCTCAGTGAACACGGTCGAATAAATGTTGATTCTCGTAGTCGAGTCTATTGGGTATTAGTGCCAAGAGCTAATAATACCTCATTACTCGCTCTCGGGTTTTCCAAAGCAAACACAATTGGCGCGACCTATATTTAATATTTCTTTGGCGCGTCACGTGGCGGTTACTACGCTGACTGGTCAATGTCAGGATGTTACAGTGTCGAATGAAAACATGTCATTAAACATTCAGTGACGTCATAGATAACGTCATTTCCTGTTTTTTAACATCCTGTAATGGCCTATGACGGCTCAGGACATCCTATAATGTATATTAATGTCCGTTAGTGTCCTATAACGTCTCAATACATCCGACAACATTCTGTCACATTATTGAACATCCTTTAGTGCACTATAACGTCCTTTAGAAGCCCTATAACCACTTAAAGTTTAATTACATCTTTAAATCTTCTTTTACGTTTGCTAACCTATAGCTCCCTCAAAGTGCCTTATAACCCTTTAACATAGTTTAGTACACCAAGTTATACGCAAGTTATACACGAAGTTATATGACACCAAATACACTAGGGGATGCTAAGTTAAAATAAAAATGATAAAGGATTATAAGGGACTTTGCGCGCGCGCGCGTATAAGATAGTGTCACGTGTAAAAGATAGTGTGACGTCACTTGTACGCGCGCGCGTACTTCCTTGGTGTCACATAATACGCTCTTTTACATCCTTTAACATCATTTTACATCATCTATTCTATAGTGTCTTTTAAAACTTCCTTCAATGCTATTACCGACCCTCGCAATGAAACGTTTGCGATGAAAAAAATTGCAATAATACCGTCACAGAGTCTAACGATCACAAGCAAACGAGACACAATACAAGATCAAAGAAGAGACAACTCTTCTTACACATACAACACGAGATGAATCGCGACAGACGACACATATTAGACGTCCGAATGCACTCGTCTTATAGACAGAACTATAAGATAACTATCTCACGTAGAGATAGATACCGATCCCCCATCTCACATGTACATATTCATTATCATTTCATTTTAATGTTCAGTCGTTTACGATATCGACGTGCTGCGCTTTTGATCATTTTCTGTAAAAAGACGCAACATCAACAAATAAAATAAAAAAACTAGATAATAAACAAAATAAAATTCGTCCTACCTTGTTGTCGAGGATGATCGTCGTGTCGGACGTTGTAGAGGGCGCCTCGCCGTGGCCGTGCTCCGACATGAAGACGCTGTCGTCGGGAGAGTTCTCCCGCGTCGACCTCTTCCCGCCGCCGCCTCCGCCCTTCGCCTTCGAGCCAAGGTCGTGCTGGAGGCGACGGAGGATGCCCGCGGCGCGCGAGCCAGACCCGGCGCTGTCCAGCCGCGCCGCGACCGTGTGCGCCGACCCGCTCTTCGCGAGGCGCCCCCTGGCGGGATGAAACGCGAGCATCGCCTCGTCGACGATCTCGCGCTGCATCGCGACGAGCTCGGGTGCGACGTCGACCGGCGCGACGCCGTCCTGGTTCGGCGCGTCGACGCGCGCGCCGCCCTCGAGAAGCGCCGCCACGCAGTCGATTGCCGCCGCCGACGCCGCCGCGTCGCCGCCGACGGCGACGTGCAGCGGAGTGTTGCCGTGCGTGTCTCGGACGTCGACGCGCGCGCCGTGGCGCACGAGCATGCGCGCCGCTTCGCCGGCGCCCTGTGCGGCGGCGACGAAGAGCGGCGGCAGCGTGTACAGGTACTCGGGCGTGTAGCGCGGCGCGTAGTCGGGCCGCTCGAGCGAGCGCTGCCGCGCGAGACGCTGCTGCCGGCGGAAGCTGCCGTGGAACGAGCGGAAACTGGAGTTGCGCGAGCGGCAGGAGCTGACGCTGTGCGGTCGCTTGGCGTTCTGCTCCGGGGAGAGGAGGTTGCCGAAGAAGATCTCGGAGGCGGTGGAACGCCGCTCCTCGCGACTCCCCGGCCGGCTGAAGCCACCCTGCGGAGAGATGGACGATGGTCAGATGGTCGAGAGATCTCTAACAGACGTCAAAAGACAGACAGACGGATGGACAGACGAACGGACGGACGGACGGACGGACGGACGGACGGACGGACGGACGGACGGACGGACGGAATAGACGGACGACGGTCAGGCGATCAAGAGATCTCGAACAGACGTCAAAAGACAGACGGACGGACGGATAGAATGCACGGACAGACGGATAGAATGCACGGACAGACGGATAGAATGCACGGATGATAGAAAAACTGACGGACGGACAGATGGAACGGATGGACGACGGTAAGATGGAAAGAAGGACGGACGGCCAAATGGAACGGATGGACAGCAGCCGGATGATCGAGAAATTTCAAATGGACGTCGAAAGACGGACGGACAGACAGACGGACAGATGGAATGCACGGACAATGGAAAGATGGAAAAATGGACGGACGGACAAATGGAATGGATCGAGGACGGTAACACGGAAACACGGACGGATGGACAAATGGAACAGATGATCGAGAAATCTCGAACGCTACATACAATTCACATCCAAACGTGGCATACCTGCATCGGTGACAGCATGCAGGGGCTGGGACTGCTGTTGGTGTCGCTGCCGTAGTACTCGTGCACGAATGGCTTCACCCCGCCGGCGTTCGGATCGACGCCGTAATGCAGGAGCAAGCGTGCCACGTCGACGGCGTTCGACCAGATGGACACGTGCAGCGCGCTGCGGAAGATCCACGGAACGTCCTGTTCATCGACGGTGATGCTCTCCAGCCGATCGGCATACCTGGCATCGAAAAAGTCGCACCTCGTTATCGTGAGATCGCGCCGTACAGTACACAATCTATTATCCGAAATTCTGAAAACTGAAAAGCTCAGAAAACCGAAAGTTTTTTTCGTGGAGATCGTCTGCACACCAAAGCTTGCGTTTGGCTGCACAAGGTTCACCGCAGAAATATTAATGTGTTTGGCATTACTCGCGCACTTGGCCTCTTGAAAACTTGGGTTTTAGTACTGGCTAGTTGCAGGATATACGGTATCAAAAGCGTATAAAGAAGGAGAGCGTACAACGATGAAATACTGAAACCATGTTGCAGTATTAGTCGAATTAATAAACTTTTCCCGTTTTATTTTGACGAGTCTTTGCAGTATTATTGATCGGCTGTCCTACCTTGTTCATATAAAACAAACCGCATGTCCCTACGATGCCCCTACGCTGAGATAATGAGCGGTGCAAATCTGGTATTTTCGCCGAAAACCGACTCGAGATCAGTGTTTACTGCGACTGTCTCTCGCTTTGAGATAACTTCGGGAAACCTCGCGTGTTTTCGTCAATGATTGACAAATAGAATGAATGACGTTTGTTATTGATTGCCATAGTGATGACCCCCACCTGTGCCCACCTCACGCTGGATGTATATAGTGATCTCTGTAGTACTGACGTGAGTCAGCGCTACCATGGCGCTACACAGCTGCGACCGGAAGCAATACACTGGCCACAAAGCGAGAGACAGTCGCAGTAAACACTGATCTCGAGTCGGTTTTCGGCGAAAATACCCGATTTTCAGCGAAAATATCCGATTTTCACCACTTATTATCTCAGCGTAGGAGCATCGTAGGGACAAGCGGTTTGTTTTATATTAACAAGGTAGGACAGCTGATCAATAATATAAAGATAGGTATTTATATAGATATAAAGAATCGTCCAAATAAAACGGGCAAAGTTTCTTAATTCGACTAATACTGCAACATGGTTTCACCATTTCACCGTTGTCCGCTCTCCTTCTTTATACGCTATTGGCGGTATGTATATATCTGTACTGTACTAGCTACCATTTGGAAATCCGAAAAATTCCGAATTCCGAAACGTGTCTGGTCCCAACGGTTTTAGATAATAGATTGTGATGTATGATGTCATCATCTAGTCTGTTGGCACGACGCTCGTGATGGCTCGTTAACTAGAAATCGACTTTAACAGAGTTATCACGAGATCATCATAGAATTTATATCATGTCTCATGTGACATATATAATATACAAATATATATGTGATCATATGTCATCATTGAGATTGTTGGCATGGTGATGGCTCTTTAACGAGAGGAGACTCGCGATCGCATTGAGTCTTTGTGATTTTTAGTTTTTTAGAGTTTTTTGTGTGATTTTGGCAGTCGAGTGCATTTTTCGGCGGTTGCTTACTGGTTGTGTCGTTTCTGAGATTCTTCTGCGGCAGGGTTCATGGCCAAAGAGAATACAAGGAGTGAAGACTTATTGTGACTCAGCGAACCTACAGTGAAGTGTATCGGTTGATGACAAAACATAAATTTGTGAGGTATAGCTAGATCGACTTCAGGTTTTTAGAGGTAATTCAACCTATTTAGTAAGCCGATGACAGTATCAGTTAAAATTTCTATAACAAAATCAACAAATTAATCCTCGGTACTACACACCTATAATGCATCTTCATGAAATTGTATATCTAGCCTGAAATGAGGTTAGGAGTATACGTCTGTCTGTAGATTGTACGTTGTCAACATACTGGCTGTAATTTACTGCATGTTTTCCTCTTGACTGGACATGGTTCTTAAGGAAGCCATAAAGGACTTGCCTGAACAATGTCATGCCATATAAATGCCTGCATCCTTATAACTAAAACTAATATGACATGATCACAGACGTCCCAAATTAAGTGTCCCGGTCTCACCGGGATCCTCCAGGTACGACATGCTGATCCCGGTAGGGGGAGGAGGGAGGGGGGGCTCTAATAGCAAAAGCAGTTCAGTCCTTTGTTAACAGTCAACAAATCCATGTTTAACCCTCCTCTTGAGGGTCAAAAGGTTATTAGACACGCACTCAGACTTTTCGCACGTCAGCGGAAAGTAGATTTCATGGTCCTTTCAATAAAGTGATAAAAACGGTAGGTCAGCGCTGAAACAAAAAAGTTTTGCACGCATCTATATATAAGTAATATCTAATGACGCGCAATACTAGTAAAACTGATGTAGCGAGAGAGAGAAAGAGAGAGAGAGAGAGAGAGAAAGAGAGAGAGAGCAGAGAGAGAGAGAGAGAGAGAGAGAGAGAGGCGAGGAGAGAGAGGAGAGAGGAGAGAGAGCGAAAGATGAGAAGAAGAAGGCGAGAAGAAGAGAGTGAAGAGAGAAGGAGAGAAGAGAGAAGAGAGGAACAGAGGAAGAGAGACAAGAGAAGAAGAGAGAGGAGAGAGGAGAGAGGAGTCGAGGGAGAGAGAGCGACAAGAGCGAGAGAGCGAGAAAAGAGCGAGAGTGAGCGCTAAGAGAGCGAAGAGGAGAGAGAGCGACGAGAGAGAGAGAGAGAGAATAGAGAGAGAGAGAGAGAGAGAGAGAGAGAGCGAGGCAGAAGAGAGAGAGAGCACTCGTGTGTCCGCTTGCGGTGTAACAGCGAAGCGGGGACATCATAGCGGATGCTACGGTTTTTTGCGACGATTTCGAGACTCAGACCTTAATTGCGGATTCGTCATATGTTGCCATAGCGGGCCACACCGGGAAGAAAGGTGAGAGAGCTTGGTTGTAAAAGCAATAGACTGTGTAACCACGTGTCTTACCTAGAAGAAGTGACGCGACAGGTATACGGGGCCGTGGAAGCGGGAGAGGGGTCGGATATTATCAAGAGATATAATACACACCGAAGGGGCGGTGGTCTTTATGGTGTTGAGGGGTGGGGGGTGCTTCGATTCAGCGTCTCTGGTATTCATCTTCGTTTAGGTAAGTCAAAAGTAACAAAGCCTTGTGTTTGCTCGTTCGCTGAGTTCGCAGAGAGGAATGTCATATATGTAGTTTAACTTCAGTTTTCAAACCTATTGTAATACGATGGATACTCGATGTATAATACTTATGCCCACCGATGTAGCTTGTACTATTAAGCCCGTGGCTCCTAACCAGTGCCGATAGGAAGAATAGACACTGAATAACCGTAGAAGATAGCGTGATAGCTGGGATCAGTCTCGCGTCGGGTGGCGCGGCTCCCGGTCGTAGAGAAGAGGAGCGGAAGGGAAGAGAGAAGGAGGGGCGGGAATAGACGGAAGACAGAGGAGCCTTACGTCAGGGTACGACCCATCAGTCTCCAAGGAGGCGGGGGTCAGCCATCGCGAGTGGGGTCGGTCGGCGCATCGCAATCTCTCTCCCTTAGAGATAGAAAAAAGAGGCCGGGCGGAGATAGATCCTAATCCACCGGGGGGGGGTAGCACCTCGGGGCAGATGTACATAGACTCTCGCGGGGCAGGGCCCCCTCCTTCACCCTCCATCGATACAGGGACTCAATAGAAATACGAGACAGCCCTACGGGGGGGGAATTGAACACGTATTCGAGAGAGCCTCTCACGAATCTCGACGACACCCCATCGGATCCGGGGCCTGAGTATCTTATCGCTGCTCTCTCTTCTTCGTCATGGATATTCTTCATCTCCGTGACTCTTCGCTCTCTACTTGAGATCTGATGTTGGATTTACTTATTTCTTCTCTCTCGAGAAGACGAAATGGTCCGGTCTTGGTTCTTACTCTGTATTGATGGATGGTCCGAGGAAGAGAGAGGATCCTCTAGCACGCAGACCACG